TCTGAGAAGCGACTCAAAACGTCTCATTCCGTCTGTCTCTGTGTCCCTTTGGACCGAGTGGACCTGGGCACCAACAAGGGCGGTCCATGATGCTCTGGCAGCTTCTGCCGCGTGCCCGGGCTTGGGCTCGTGGACTGCTGAGGGCAGAAGAGCGACCGCTCCTGAGGCCAATGGGCCAAAAGCAATTGCGTCCGACCGCTCCTAGTAGCGATGCCCTTTGCCCCTAGTAGCTTCTTGTTACTAGTAGTACGGCCAGGAGCCCCTAGTAGCGTTCCAGTGTTGCGTGAGCGGTTCGTGGAGCCTTTCCTGGCAACCTTTGATGGGCGTTTGTCCCATTGCACCACCCTGGGATTCCCAAGACAGCAATTCCAACAGTGCAGTTGCCATGGCTGATTAGTAACAGATCACCTCTTGTCATTAAAACCCCACTGACTGTTCTTTCATCGCTTGTCCATCAACTGTATGTCCTTACCACATCACGGCCGGGAAGAATGCAACAAGGGTATCAAACCTCTGAAAGAAGCTCTACGCCTTCGTCAACTCCTGAGGTTCGGAACAACTGCTGAGGCCGTCACCCTATACCTCTATGTATACATATAGAATTTCTTATAGATCAATGTAAGACTATGATTTAAGCCATCCACAAGCTATAATATAGACCCCCAAATAGATAGAAGTTCGTAGATCCCCACGTAGGAAATGTTGGAAACCGTGCCACTATCTATTTGGGGATCACTATATACTTGGGTCGCAAATGTATCCTGACGATGAGGAAGACCTCTTAAAGGTGCCTCTGTTCTTACTATTTACATCTCATTGCATTACATGGTATCGTGGTTGACTCCGTCGCATGTGACCCGCAGCGGCTCCGTCTTGGCTCTTCGCTCTCTCTCCCTGGCTCTTCACTCTCGTGGCAACCCGTGACTCCGGCGAGATGCCAGGAGATGAAGCCTTCGAAACCCAAACAAAGCCTTCCAAACCTGACATCATTCGATCCCTCGAGATCCTCCATACCTCGTTCAGCTGCCTGAACCGCCGCCGCTCTTTCTCCGCTCCTTCAGCGAGGCCTCGCTCCGCGGCGACAGCGGCGACGGCGACAGCGCCTCGGTGGCCTTGGGCGACCTCGCTGGAGCGAGGCCAAGGCAGAGGAGGACTCGTTGGTCATCATATGTCATCACAACCAGAGGATGAGATCAAAGAGAATGAAACGGATTTGCTGGAAGAGTCCTGAGCAGTTGGTTGAAAGTTGGGGTTTTGGACGCAAGGGCTATTGAAGCTTTGATCTGTGGGTTTGGGGAAATCTCCATCCACCTCTGTAGTGGTCGATCGGTCGATCACACATGGTACTCGCAAATGCAGGTTGGGGAAAAGCGCCGGGATCACGGGACTCAGTGACTAGAAGCCAACTAGTGTGGCTTCATGAATCTTGGTGCCAACATCAGAACCTCAACATGAACCACAACTGAACCAGCAGTTGTGGGGCCATATGGCCTTCTGGATTCCAGGGATTCTATGCCTTGGGACTCCCGGGGTCCCTGGAGTCCTGTCATCACCGAGCTCTCCAAGGGACAGCCCAGAGGCCACCGTGGTCAAGAGCCGTTGGAGCCTCGGCGCACCACGAAGCTGCAAAGTGGTCGGGTTGGACGGGTTGAGTTGAATGGTTGTTACGAATAGCTTCCGACCGCTCCTAGTAGTAAGGCCACTAGAGCCCCGTTCGTAGCATCTGACCGCTGCTAGTAGCGATGCCAGGAGCCCCCTAGTAGCTTCTTGTTACTAGGAAATGGGATCCCCGCCTGTTGTGCTTTTATGTTGGCTTCCTGAAGGAGGGTAAGGACCGTGTTTTTTTAGGATGGGTAAGGCTGGTCATTGATGTTCATTAATTCTCTCTCGGTCACCCATTGGGTCGAGTCGCGCAATCATGTCACTGTGAGACAAACCTGCAGGTTGGTCAAAACTTCGTTCCCACTTAACTTATATCCAAAAGTTAATCTTGTGGATTCGGAATGTCAACAGTCAAGTTTTCCATTGTTGGATCCAATGCCCACGTCCAAATTGTCAAGGAACTCCTGTAGGCTGGCAACATCAAGGCGTTGCTGTTGCCCTTGCTCCAGGATCTCCTCATCAAGGCTGTCTGTCTCTCTCGCTCGCTCGCTCGCTCGCTCGCTCGGCCGTTGCTTCAAGCGGTATATGTGGGAGAAACACGAGCTGTATCGGAAAGGAACCCAGAATGATCGTGAGGTCTTTCTTTGGAAGGTGGCCCTTTCTCTTGGAAGCTTCTCCTTTGTGTGTAGAGGGATTTTGACATGTGTCCATGGAGTCCATGGCGGGGTGGCCAAACCTACCCATGACGTCCCGGTATTGACCTACCGCTCCTGCAAGCGCTGTTGCACAGTGGCTTCAGGCACCTGAAGAGCTGACCCACATGGACTCAGCTGCCATAGCAGTCATAGCCAACCCTCCTCCCGGATGTTCTGGTGCTGAAGAGCTCTTTTTTCCCGCACGGAGTATGTGTCATTTGAGCATGAGGAAAAGGGACCATTCCGAGTCGACAAGAACAAGAACAAGAACATGATCACCTGAGCAAAAGCTCAGGGTTTGTCTGAATGCAGGAATTCTGGACACCAACAAGTAGTAGATTTGCCCGTGGAAGTGGGACACGTCCCATGTCCTCTGTATATTTAACGTTCACCGAGAGAGCTACTGTTCATTCCCCGAAACCTGCTCCCACCATGCTTCTGAGTTTGCAACTCCCCCATCTCCACGTGTTCTTTTCTTTTGCACCCCACCTCACCACCGGTCCCAGCGTCGCTCCCATCCCACCCCGCCTCTGATTTGGACAAGGGCAATGACCTGAAGACGGTCAACCGTCGAGGACGATCACCCTCACCGCTCCGGCACCCGCTCCACCCGCTCCACCCGGGGTCCCGGGCAACGACCCCGCGGCACTCGCCACGGAGGGCCGCACGCTGGGCGTGGACCCGGGGTCACAGATGAGGCCTTGGGAAAGGGCGAAAGCCTCCAAGGTCGCTCGGGTTTGTGAAAAAATTGGATCTGTTCGCCCATTTTACCATCTTTTCATTTTCGGGTCCCTGTTGGTTATTGCATGTTATTGCAGATTGCGCTCTACATGTTGTTCAAAGTGAGGGTGAACTTCAACTTCTATCACTTGGCGGCCATCCCTGCGCCGCGTGAAACCTGAATCGGATTCCTCTTGATGGGGCTGATGAAAATCACGCAGCGCTTCATGTTGGAGAATTTAAAAAAGCTGACGAGTCAAGAACAAGACGGTCTTTAAGCGATAGAGATGTTGCAGATTGCATGGATCAGTGAAAATGTCCTTACAGCTACATCAGCATTGAGCAAGTCCTGACAAATGTTGATCAGCAGATTGAATTGGTGGGCAGAGATGTAGCATTCATCTTTGGTCATGCCAAACTTCCCTACCATCAGGCTCGGGTCTGCTCAAAGAACTGCTTACAGGCGAAGTCGATCTGTGAGGCAGTTGTGTCAAATGTGAGGGTTGTTGACATCTTGACTCAAGTGATGAACCAGCAGAATCTGCCACCTGCGCAACCTTGACTGCCTCATTATGTTAGAGAAAAGCAGGAAATGCCCACCACTACCGCCGGTCTCGTGGAGTGACGCAGAATACGATGCCACAAAAGTGCCAGTCACGACTTCATAGGACAAAATGACGAACCAAAGGCCCGACGTTGACTCGCACTCAAAACTGGACATACAAAACACAAACTTGAGAGTGTGGGACAAGTGAAGGAATAGGAGTATAGTAAAACAATACTAGTAGTATATAACTACACCTGCCACCCAAAAGTATGGAATTTTATGTGTTTTCTTTCATGCAAGACTACCTACAAGTCTTAACTCTAGTGTCACCTCCTGAACCACTCTGCCAAACCGTCAACCCGAGGCCCAGGCTGAGGTCATGGTCCTGGTCCTGTCACACGAGCAACCTTTCTAGGTGGTCTTTGTCGTCTCTGTCGTCTCGAGGGATGTCCAAAAATCGGCTGATTTCTCATTCCCGGAACTGAAAAACTTTTCATGTTCTGGATGCGCAAGCGCACCATGAAGCATCTCCATTTTCTCATCCACCAAATTTCACACACCTTCTTCCTTACGACAAATATTGCCTTTTCCACACACCACTTTGTACCTCTTTTGCATCTTCCAATTTTGCGTTGTCACCAAAAATCCAACATTCACTCTGTGACTGAGGGGGTCTCTGGTTGACAAAACTTCCACCAATCATGAACTCCCATGCCTTTTTGGCCCTCATTTTTGGGACCGCCGGCGGAGCATGTTTTAGTCAACGGTGTGGTCCAGTTGTTCTGGCATGGTGACACCGTTTTGCAGGCGTGGTTTTTTTTGTCGGTCGGCTGTTTGTTGTTCGTCCGTTTGGGTGGGTGGAGGGGTGGCGTTGTGTGGTCAGTTGGATGTTTGGTGGGTTGCGTGTTGTGGGTCAGGGTGTGACCTTGCGTTGGATAGTCTGCAGTTTTGTATGTGATGGGGCTTGTTACGTGGAATTCAAGAACCATTTGCTTGGAAGTCATTTGTTTGGTCCCTGTTTCCGTGGGCATGTCTTGGGGTGCGAAGTTGGTTGGGCCGGATCTTTTGGCAAAAGTCTGTATCAATCGTTTTCATGCGGGAACCAAATGTCGCTCTAGGCTGCCATGTTTTAGGCTGCCATGTTTAGGGCAAAGATGAATTATCTTTAAAGTTCCCATGCACAGCAGCATGGCACTCATATGGTCCGTCTGGACTGGATTTTGTTGATCCAGCCCTGAGTGCGGACCGTATCGCGATGTTTCGGTCCCAACACCTCCTTCCTCGCGATGAGAACCTCTTCAAACTCTCTGAGCGCCGCTGAAGCCGGCGGTCCAAGGCATGCAGCGTTTCCCCCGTGTTGGATGGTCAGGGTTGTTTGGTGCCTTGCACCCCACTCTTTTGAGTTCACCGCCTGATGCACTTGCTTCAGCGCTTCTTCAGCGCTTCTTCCAATTCTCCCCTCCCTGCTCCTGGAGGGCGCTGGCGATTTTGAATTGCACGATCAGCGTCTCAGGGCTGTGCTCGCCATTTTTACGACTACGACGAACAGCTTCCACCTCCCTTAGGTGAACCAAACCATCGCCGTAGCGCTTTAGTTGGACCAAAGCTTCGGCGTATAGCACCTTGCTAATCTCCACGTCCGGATGTGTTGGCGCTTCCAAACCCGTCGTTCGCCTCGTCTCATAGACTTGACGGATCTTCGGCAGAGCTTCCTGGGCGCGTCCCAGTCTTACAAGGCAGTTGGCCACTTCGTACTTCGCATCAAGGGTCAACGCCTCCCGCCTCCCCCTGCTTGACTCGCCAGAATTCAAAACGCTCCTCGTGAAGCCGCAGGGCGTCTTCGTATTGCCGCAGGGCATGGAACATCATGGCCAATTTTTATTTTTCTTTCAAAACCCATTCATCTGTGTCACCAAGGAAGAATCTAGAAACAGCGATCTTCTTATTGTAGTAGTCCACTGAAGCTAGCCAGGACTCACCATGGCGATTCTCCCTCTCAAGAGCCACCGCCCGCAGGCTAAAGCAAAGAATGATCTTGGTCAAGCTGACCCCGATAAACAAAAACTGGGTCGGACTGCCACCGAAGAAAACTACAAAGGCTGACTGCATAACAGCTTGGGGCAAATCTTCGGTAAGTGCAATGGCCAGCTTTGCTGGCGATGTATGCTTCACGAAGAAGGGCTCCTTTGTTGTCTTGCAAGCGGCGTGCACAGGAAGCAAATAACTTGCCGAGGCTTCTGCGTGGTACCAAAGCAGCCAAACATTCGAGAGCAGCAGTATCACCAGTCCAGCGTACGCAAACATGCATCCAAGCAGGGTTTGGGTGTGGACTGCTATACCAACAAACATCCAATCCTTGAAGATATCGAGGGTTTCACCCACAATTGGGAGAATTCCTTCAATGACAGGCTTTCCAAATTCAGGTACGTAGCTTTCGGCAGGCAGGGATATGGTGAAGTATGCAGCTTGGAGGATGGCTCTGCTCAGCATGACCGAGGCCCAAATCACATAGGCTTCCCAGCAAATGCCTTTCTGGATGTCAAGTCGGTGCGTTGCCACCATGAAAGTCATCAGACATGCCGGAAGAAGGTGTAGTGCCACACGCTCCCAAAGTGAGATCGTCGGAGGGTCCTCCGGCACAGGGTCCGCCTGATCTCGACGATCCAGCCGGTCATACCCTGTGCGTCTCTTGGACCTGTAGGCATTTCCCAAGTACGTGAGGAGCTGGCCAGATGCAAAGCCCATCAATAGGAGATAATAGGAGGTACAGGAGCAACGACACGAAGTAGTCTTGCCTGTGGTTCATCTGAGATGTCGTGAGGTCAGACCCTGCATGTACTGGAAACAGGACAGGCACTTCCAGCCAGTTCGCGCTGCATCTGGCAGGTTCTTTGGGCACCCAAACGTGCCACACCGGCAAGTGTGTGAGGCTTCCAAAAATGAGCACACCTGCAACCAAAAATGTCGCTGTGCCAGCAAGCAGCAGCATGAAGAGACATGCAATCTTCACTGGTCTGCAGGGACAAGTAAATATGAAGGCCAAGGACAGGATGAAGCTGATGCCTGACCCGAGCAGGAGCTGCATCAGGGGAATATCAAGCCAGTCAGGGCATCTCAGCGGATGTAGCAAACTCGGCAGCGCTGGCCCTGAGTGCGTTTGAAGTCGTCCCTCAGAATTGTCTGCTGAGGTCTCTCCAATCCAAACTAGGCCGAATGCCAGCACAGCGAAGACTGCCACGCGCAACATGTCTTCGGAACGCTGGAAGGGTGATATCCAAGGAGGAAGACTTTGCCTCTGATGGTGGACCGTTACCACATGCCAATAGATAAGTAGGGAGGCACTGCCCACAATTGGAGCTTCTTCTCCCTTGATCCGCTCAAATCATTGAAGGACCGAAGTGCCCAAGTGGCGGCCGACCCTCGCTCCACCGGACGCGCCTTCAGCGCAGACACGGCCCCGGTGGCCGACCCCGGCGTGCCGCCGGCTTCCGGCCCGCTGGGGCGGCTGTGCGCCGGCAGTTCCGACGTCTGGGCCTGCTTGGCCTGAGAGGTTGCGGATCTAAGGAACCAGTGTCCAAAGACTTGGTTGGTGAACTGTCATAAAGCGTCCATTTTTTCAGGTCAATACATTTCCATTGTATGAACTTGACATGACCAAAGGCTTGGAAGTGGCTCATTTCTAACTCCCATACCTTGAACTCCCACAGAATGGACTGTCTGGCAACTCCACCCAATTTCCACCAAGACTTGAAGTTATATATAAATATATAGTTGCTATTGACCCCAAACAGAGGTTGGCGAAGCATTGCTTTGAGGAGCAGAAGGCAAATGCGAGCAAGGTGATGTTTCTCTCCTGTTTGAAAACCAACTGTAGGATCACACCCATTCTTGCTTGCCTGCTCATCTCCTCACCATGGACTTCCTTCGTTGAATTACACCTTGGCTTAGAAATGACATAGAAATCATCCTCACTTGGCACCTGATGCACCTGCCTTTTCCAAGCCCCTCTACTCTCCACTACTCTCCGCTACTCTGCGTGGCTTCTCCGTTGAACCGCGCCTGGGAGATCCAATCTGCGGGAGGCGCTTGCTGGTTCAGGTTGCCCACCGAAGCCACCTCTGCTGTGGATGCTTCCACCGGCGACGGCGGGACGGCCGAAGACGGTCTCCAAGACGGAGCACCACTGGCTCCATGGAAAGGGCACGGGACGCGCAAATGTCGGATGGCAAAAGGTGGGATGCAAGGATGAGATGTGTCAATGTGTGACTTACACAAGGCAGTGTTTCCCTGCTCAAACGAAACTGGTACCATGGTGTCCAGTAACAAAATATGGCTGCACCTTGCCCCAATGGATGTTCTCCAGGTCAATGCAAAGGCCCTGGCGATGGAGCATTCGTCTTCTCGGCTCCATATGAATGGGGCGAGCTCTGTTTGGACGTAGAACTCCATGGAACTCCCAATTCAGGTTCGCTTCCAACCGGGAATTCATCTCTGCTTTTCCGACTGCAAGTTGGAGAGGTTGCTATCCTCACACATCCATATCTGGCCAGATATAGAGAATATCCTGGTACATGTTTGGGTTTCTAAGTGGTGCAGGAATGATCTATCGGTGCGAATGTCATGTTCTGGAGATCGCATTCGACACTTGATCCCGAACGGACCACGGAACTCCACCACATATGCTATCTGACTTGCCTCATACGGTGCAAGAGGAGCTTCCCATGGTTTTTTGGAGGGCGTGATTGTAGAACGGTACATTTGCACGCTACTCATAAGGAGGGGAACACATCTTTCATGTCCGACAGCCCCACAGCCCAGCCCCCACCCTTCAAAAGGACCTTTGGGTACAAAGCCCCACACGCTGCAAGTGGAGAATCCATCACAGGTGTGCATGCACCATCTTCAAAGCTCTTGCTTCAATTCCAAAAAAATCATGGTTTTAGGGGAGGAGGAGGCGGAGGTCATCCCAAAAAACCTTCGTGCCAAGAACTCTGAGAGTTTTGGGTGCCCTGCACGTGCCAAGGGCCACCAAGGGCGCTCCGTCTTCCCGACACCGACCTCCAGTGTCGTATCCAGGTGCGCACAGGGCCTCGCGGCGAAGGCATCTGGGTGATAGCGGTTCGGGAACACTCCGATCTCTTCGTGGGAAAAAAACGAAAGGACTGGTACACGCAGAAAGCAAGGTGAAGAACGATTCGATCGCTTTTAAAACCGTCCGTGGGTCCGTACCTGAAAAATAAATTGAAAATGCATGGCTCACCGGCTCCAACAAACGCCATGAGCCCACTCTCGTGCTCTTCCTTTTCCGGCCCTTGCGCATGCATCAACCCTTCAGTCCCCTAGGCAGTTCTAGAGTCCTCTTCCAAAAGCCCCATTCACAAATCTCAGGTTCTTTTTTTCAGGGTCTCCTTGCAGAAATGCAATGAAGCCAAGGGAATGAAGGTTTAGCAACCACTCGAGCGAGAATGGCACACGACACCCCAACCCAGCAGCTTGTGCAGTTTCCCTACCCCACCGTGTCCTTATTCTCCCAGCTCCATTGCCCAAAGACCCCCATCCGTCACCTGCAATATTCCAAGACCGCTTCGGCCAGGTCCCTCCGCTGCAACTTGCTCAGGCCCATGGACCTTGCGGTCTGGGCCCAGGCGGCGCGGTGGTCGAATGGGTCGGATGGGTTCCACGTCGGAGGGAACAACAGGTGGAGGATGCTGTGAGGCCGAGGTGATGCTGAACCTCCCCTTCTTCTCTCCTTGGTGATAGGGATGTGGGATTGCCTTGGAATGGGGATGTTGGGGGCCGGAAGCGGCAGATGTGGGTGGATATCCAAGGTGGGTGTTTCAAAAGCCGTCACTCCCGAGTTCATAGACCCCCTTTCTGTCAGAAGAAGCAAATAGGAGACAAAGGATGAGCAGCCTTACCTCTCAAATCTAGAGTCCCTTATTACTGCTTGTTGCTTGTCCTCTGTTAAACATCTGCAGCTGCAAACACACAAATATATCCAGTCAAAGTCACTTGCTTAAATCATGCATAATCATGCAGCTTCGTCTCGACCAGGCATACATTCAACTACCTTTTCTGCCACATTCCACCTCCCATAAAAGCCAACAGACTCCCAATGTTCGCAGCTCCCTCAGGCCCTCTTGGATCAGTTTTCTGTGCTCACACAATCAGCTTCCAATCCCACCAGCCGCACCAGCGGCCCCAGCACTGCTGCGCGACTCCAGCTGAGTGGCCAGTTGAAGGCCTTTGCCCCGAGCCCGGCCAAGGACTGCGCCAATGCACGCACCTCCAAACAGCTATTCATTCCAGCAGCACAGTCGCTCAAGTCTTCTTGTCCATGTTGGGTATGATAGATTCCACGGGTTGGACAAGTGTAAATCCTACCAAGACGCTGAGGCAGGAGTTCGTTTTTTTTGGCAACGCCACATGCTTCGCACGACCCTGTGTGGAGTGGAAGGAAACTGGAATGATGTCCTTGACAATCCATCTGCTGCACAGAAAACTATACAAAAAAAAAAAAAGGTCCAACAGCGGGTTAACCCGCCTGCATGTTCAGCACGTGACAGCGGCCTGCGGTGAGCAAAGCAAAAGCAAACCTCTTCCAGGAAGGTTCACCTGCATTGAGACAGACCCAAGTAAAGTTCAAGACAGTATATCCTTCATTTATAGCTACTTGGATCAGCTTGTGTCGATGTCCTCCACCGTTTCTCAGGTTGGCAAGGTACCAGTTGATGTTCAACAATCTGCCCACAAAGCATTCGTCCTTGCCGACTTCCCCATACTCCGTCACTCCCATACTCCGCTCCCAGAAGAAGCCCCTTGATGAACCATCTAGGTGTTCGAGCTGCACATCGTGGGCGCCACCTCGATGCACACGGATCGAGTCACCGGTAGTGAATCGCCAAATGGGAAGTTCTTCTGAAAGGACCAAAAAATGATTGCTCAGTTGGTATCTGGAGCGTGGAACTGTAGGGGTTGCCCTCATTTTGACACAGACCCGACACGTATCCTGACTGGGTGTCTGTCGGTGGGTTGCTCCAGCGGGGCAAACTGCCCATAGTTCCTGCTCAAATCACTACATTTAACAGAATGAAGCAGCTCGTCCAACCTTCCTCAACCACACGGTTTTTCCCAAGCTATCCTATATCATCCAGGGCCCCATATGTACGAATGCGCTAGAAACCTCAAGGGCCTCCTCAAAGAGAAGATTCTACCTAGCATTCCCTACACCGATAGCTATCCCCAATTTGGAAAAAGTAGAAGGAATGGGACCGAATGTTGAACGGATTCTCGAACAACATCAATAATCACTTCACCTACCAACTGTCTGACAAAGAGAACACACATATCCGCCTGCTATTCAAATTCCCCTGGCGTCCAAACTACTTCGATGTAAACACATGAGACTTCTTTTGCTCTGCCAAGGCACTCCGGGGGAGGGAGGAACAGCTTCAGCCATTGGCATGGCAAGGTGCGCCTGCTGGAGATTCAAATCTATGAAACGATGCATATTGGTGACATGGCACTGATGATGTCCTGCTTCGCATTCATGAGTATTCGATTCCGTCTTCGATCACCATGGCTCAAAGGCTTTTCTGGGGCTCCATGAAGTGGATCACGTCAAAGTGACTCTCCGGTGGTCGGAGGCCTTCTCCATCTTGAAGTCCCGTGGAGTCGAGGCCTCCGGACCAACGCAGCTGACGGCACGATCGTGGAAATGGGTGTAGCGAAAGTGGCGGTTTTGGTGTCAGAACATGGGGGTCCGGAAACTGGGAACTTCTGTGGCACTGATACACCTTATACTTCACGTTCAAAGCCTGCCAGAAAGGAAGCAGAGAAATCACGCAAGTAGAAAACGAGACACCTTCAGCTTCTTGAGAATCCTTGAGGACAATTCGCACCTTCGGCTTCTCGAAGTCGGGAATGATTCGCCTTCCGAACGCCAAGAAAATGGAGGTTCACGCGTCGTGGGAGCATCCAGTCGTGAACTGGGATTTCTGCTGCAGCTTGTGTTTTGTGTACTGTAACATGCTGTAACCATGATTGTGCCAAGTTGTATGTGATCAAAGCTTCGAGTCCCAAAAATACTCAACTGAGGCACGCTGATGGACCTTATGGAGTTCAATGTGTATACCTATGGCTTCGAAGACCCACTAAAAAGCAGGCCCAGTAACAGGCAACTATAGTTGATACTTGCTTAAGAAATTGACCAAGTAAAAAACCACGTAGAACCATGAGAAACTTACCATACCGCGGCCTTGTCGCACCAACCGGTCAAGAAAAAGGATCTGGTGTCCAGTCATTCAGTCCAGAAATCTGCTCCGGGACCTCAATCTGCTCAAGAGGGATTCTTTCATTTCCCGGATCGACTTCTCCGTGAGAAAACCACAGAGCCTCGCCTCTTGCACTCCTTCTCCTCCGTCAGGCGGAACGGCGCCTGGCGAGCTCGGGCCACCAGGCCGCGGGCCACGGATAGCTGGAGCGTAAGCAGCACAAGCAGCCATGGAATTCAAGGTTGCCGGAGGTACCATCCCTAGTTAAGCACTAGTGGTGGATTCTGGGAGCATGAATCTGTGCTTGGAGAGGAGGAAACCTACCCTCCAAAACCCTCCAAAACCTCCAGCCGTGAGACAACGAAAGCACATTGGTGACGATTCTTCTGCAGATGAATCAGAACAAGACACAACAGAACTGACCTGTGCTTAGTAGGGAATGAGCGAATGGATCCAGTGGAATCTCTATTGGGGGGCTCATTCCCTTATTCTCTTCTAAGCACCAGTCACACTCACAGACCTGTGGTGGTCTGGGAGATTTGAAGGAGCCTTGTTTGACCTGGGAACCTCGTCATGCCTCGTCCAGGTCGACACATCTACCACTCCGACCCTACCTCAAAGTCCAAGGGTGGACCCGCGCGCAGCAGCATGTGGCTAATCTGGCGGCGGGCAGTCAATGAGACCAGATCGGAAAAGCAATGTGGTGTGGATCACCAAAGCAAAAAACATCAGGATGCTGGATCCCCATCAAGGTCGCTTCCTGAATGCATGATGCTGAATTTGCCCGTCACTGAAAGCATCTTTAAGATCTTTAAGCGCACATGGACTCAACCCAGCCACTGAGGCCCTTCTGAGAGGCCCGGTGCTCTGTCACCACTGGCTTGTTGTTTCTGAGGTCCATCTGCGAACTTCGGCCCCAAAAAATACAACAAAGTACTCGTCTTGCCGGGATCTGTGCAAGTCTTATTCCAGGTGGGGCCCTCCCAACCCTTTGACCCTGAATAAGCAACCAACCAACCAAAAAACATGACCCTTTGACCCTGCCATACAAGAAACCATCACACCTATTAACCATCCACTTCACAAGACCATCGTGTCGCGTGAACGTGACCGTCCCTTTCACCGAACACGCCTCCTGACCCATCGAGCTCAGCTGGTCATGAAGGAGAGGGTCCAGCGGCGCCATCTGGCGGCTGGGAGCCGTTGGAGCCGTTGGAGCCGTTGGAGCCGGAGCGAGCCGGAGCGAGCCTTGCTCCGGACTCGTTAGCGATGCCAGGAGCCCCTAATTAGTAGCGTCCGATCGCCCCTAGTAGTAAGGCCAGGAGCCTGTGTTTTTGTCTTTACAGCCAAAGGGGTGGGAGACAATCCCAAATGGTTGAAGAAATGGTAGAAGGATCTGAAATGGGAGCATCGGTGGAGACGACTCCTTCCATTCACAACTGTTGTGACATGCCACCTACCTGTAGACCCTGCTACCACTCCAATGTCCAACCGCTCGGGACCACGACTTCAGTCGAACCGCTGCCTGCTCCTCTCGTGGCTTGGAGCCGGGCCTCGTGTTCTCACATCTTCTTAGCTTTCGTTCACCCAAGGCGGTGCTCAACTGCAAAGCTCAAAGACCCAGAAAAACCTCCAAAAATAGAAGTTGAACTTGCCATGTAGTCTTTCTTGACTTGAAAAGCTCCAATGGGTATGGTTCTCTTAGGATGGAAGCTGTGTAAGGTGCATTTGATCACATAGACCTGGTGCTTGGAGGAAGGTGCTCCTTCCTCGATGTTCGCTTCTGAACTCGTGAACCGAGTTAACTCTGCCGGTGGGTCACCGCGATGGCCGGCATTCTTTTGGGCGGTGCCGTCAAACGAGATCCTGCAAAAACTTTGTCACTGCGCACGTCCGCCAACTCAGTCTGAAAAACCAAACATCTGTCAAAAGATTTGGGTATGGTTCAATTGGTTCAAGCAAAACCCACGCACAGGTTGTCGTATGCTTTCTGAAAACCCGATCCCCACTACTTCCTCCGCGCTCCAATGGGCTGCCGGGCAAATGAGAGCGCAGGGGAAAGCGGGCCTGGCTGTGACATCGGTAGGATGAGCCGACTACGTCTAGGGCCAAGGGCCTGGGGGCGTTCGGCTTTTGTAAATTCTGTATGGGTGATTGTTGGGATAAGGGAAGAAGCAAAAATCAACAGTTTTCTTGGGAAAAAGTTGACCTCCAAGCACAACAGAAAGGTGTGGTGTGTCATTGACTCGCCTGCATCAGTAATGATCGCTTTCCCTACCTCTGAGTTTGCTACATCCTCCCTCAAAATGAGCTTGTTGGCAGGCTTACCCCGGCATCATCTGGTCTGCACAGCTCCCGAGCATACCCGAAGCAGGCGTAGCAAGCGCAAGTGCCAGCTGACTGGCTAGTGAGCTAGTGACAAGCACCGACAAGCCAAAGCTGTGATTGTCAACCCACCTCCATGGCGGAGGAAGCCGCCCAAGGAAGCGGCACAACTTGTGGGGGTACCTATTCTTCACCACAGAAGCATGGAAACCATTGGAAACCCATCTAAGAGGATCTTTTAGAAAAATGATGGTCTCTTATTGTCTCAGCGAATCTGTCAGAGTGGGCTGCGTTTTTTTGCCGGTGGCGGCCCAAAGAAGCCCTCCTCCAGTATATACAAGACACCTCAATGCGTCAAGGTATTCGTGGGATGCCCATCTCCAAACCACAATTTCTCTGGCTCTGTTTGGGTGCAAGAAACACTTGGTCAACCACTAGGGACTTCCACCACACACCATGTAATTTGGGCTAGTCTGCAAGCCCAAACGGCATCCAAGCTGATCAGTTCTGGCAAAGGAAACACCTGCCAACGCGCCCCATTGGCTCTGATCCAGACAGATCTGTCTTGATGTCCCGTTCAAACTAGTTTTGCATTGTCATTTCGGCGAATGTAGAGTATATTTAATTCTTGGACTAGGATCCGGGTTGAAGCCAGCTTCAGATGAAACACACTTGGGGGTGGTATTTCCAACAGGTTCCACATATCATCACCTGAACCAATTGTTTTGGATCTTTTGGTTGGTGTGGCAGGCTCCGAGTTTCGTGTTGGCTCAGTGGTCGTGTTTGCTCTTCACCGTGGACAAATGGATACCCAGCTCCTGCGGTTTGCTCAGGACAGGAGAAAGTCTCAGTGATATTGGCCAAGAACGGTTGTCGAAGACCGCAGCAACTGCCTGATGGGATAAAATGCCCACCACAGCTGGATCCTGGGTTTCTATCCTTGCTCTCCCTTAGGTAGTGAGCTCGATTGCAACTCATCACAACTGGAACATGGTGTTGGGGAAGACTTTCCTTCAAAGCTGGCCAGCAAAAAGCAGGTGTTCCTTCGTCGCTTTCTGTCAATGACTTCAAAGCTCTGCGAACCCGCGCTCGCACGCACGTCACTTCTTTTCTGGCAGATCGCAGGGATCTCGGCAGGGAAAGAGCTCGTTGATCTCCTGCCAACTGCAGGTTCATGCGCAGCACTCTTTAGGCATCTACCTTGTCTAACCGGTGCACTGCCAGGAAATTGATGTGTATTTAACAAACCTTGCAAAAGGCAAAAAAACGAAGAAACAAAATGAAATCCATTGGATGTTCAAAGTCCTCTATATAGACTGGGGGCATATAGAAAATCCCAAGCAAAGACTTTATGTGAACATCCTCCAAATGGTTCACCCAAACACCTTCCTGTTCCGGGCACTTGTTTGCAAGCAAGGAAGGGAACCACCTCAGAAAACTGTGTCAGTCGTTAGTCACAAAACCCCTCCCACCGCCCTATTCACAACTTCAGCGCAAACCACACTCGAACAACCCTCGATGTTTTGCTGCTTGCTGGATACAGCACTAGGGGTGCGTGCCACTGGCAATCTATTGCCGCCCCTTCTTCAGACACCTGTCGATCTACCGACAGCCTTGCATAGGGCCTAGGAAAACTGGGTGTCCCGAAGCGGTGCATGTAGTGTTCCGTCCTGTTCGACTTAAATCGACGCACGGTAAAACACGTCCGTTCAATCGTCGACCCAGGACTTCACCTATGCAACCTATGACATGCTAACATACTCTTTTCACGCCCTTAGTATTAGGCCTCCTTCAAGCTCAAGGCCCATTTCGGCAGCTCGTCCTGGCATTTGTCACAAGGTGTGCATAAAGTTCTTTGTTCGGCGCACCTCCCGGTTCTGATGGCTACACGTCCACCCAAGATCCACGGCCAGCCACATGCGGCCACCCAGTCTGTCGGATGGCTTCTGAAAGAATTCAACAAGGTCGAATCTACCAACTCCGAGGCCTCCGGCAGGCTGTCACTGAGGATACTTGAGTGCTTCGATCACGGCAGCCTTTTCCACAACCAATGTACAAGAACTCAATTCGCCTACCATGAAGCCTTCCGCAGACCTTGAACCACCCTTCACTTGAAGCCACTGTTCTTGTCGGCGCAGCAGTCGAAGAGTCACACAGAAGGGCAGGGGCAAGTTGGGGACTCTTCTGGTGAAGTTGAACAAACACGTAACACATCCAAGTGTCCGACGAGCTCCACTGCCCATGGGCTCTCCCTTTGAAACCGGCAAATTGAGCGTATTCTGCAGCTGTGGTGCTCGAACTTCTACATCATTGAGGAAAACGCAAGCTAATTCTTGCTCACGCAAAATGAATCGCGCGGCGAACACCCATGCCTCATACCTGTCACATGGCCAAGCAGCATGCCCTTCATCACGAGGTAAAGGGATCTCTGGGGCTCGTTTGGCAGGTCCCAACGCTCTTGTCACCGCTCTTTTGGCACCTGGAATGGCCAAGTGGATGACGTCAGTGGTAGGGTGCCCTTTCCTGCAATGTCATTGCAGAGCCTCGCATAGATATGCAGGAAAACTTCTATAGCCAGCCGCTCTCAGGGCTGCCGCCACCTCGTGGATCTTTACCGCTGAGGAAGCTGGCTTGCGCGCCTCATGCTGCAGCAGCCATGATCTCGTCTTCAACCACCGAGAAGTCTGCGTATGGACTTTCTCCCCAACAAGCGATCCAGGCTGCCACTTGCTCTGAGGTCGGCTCTGCATCGTCGCTCGGCTCTGCCCCTGTCATCTCGATGTGCTCCAGTTCTTGTCGTGACATGAGATCTATCTCTGAATCGTCCACTTGGCCTGCTGAGGGGCCGGTGTCACTGGGTCTGCCAACAGGTCGATCTCTTCCATGTTGAGGGACTGCCTGCAAACACGCCTGCCTGCAGTTCCCGAAGATCGGGGTCGGTCCCCACTCGCACGGCGCGGAGGGTGCGGCGCAGCGTCGACACTGGAAGCATGGCCAGCAGGGTAGGATTCGCAACCCCACCGAGGGCACGGTCCACAGCGTTCCACACCTGTTCGGAGCAATGGCAGAAGGCACGAATCCGAGCTATCCTGTCCAATCCAGCCCGCCATAAAATAGAGCACTAGTCCCAGTGCAACGTGTCGAAGGCTCGAGGACCGATGCATACACGAGTGGGGACCAACCACACAAAGCGAAATGCCACCCGGGTGACCAAACACCCAGAAAGGAAGCCCACTGCGAAAGCCAGTACCAGAAAGAACTCAAGATACATAGCACGAGGTGATCTAACTTCACCTTGGGGCCTCTTTGAGCCAAAATGGCTACGGAACCACCTCACAAAACACTGCAAAAAAACTAAACGATTGAGTAGAACTGACCTACGAAGAAACCTCCAAAATCCCAAACCATTTGGAAAGATCCTCCAGCGCCTCCACCCCATGGGCCCACCACCTCTCCCCACGGTCTTCTCCCGCGCGCCGGGGCGGAGAAGGGCTTCTCCCCGGCCGTGAGGTCGAAGAACAAGATCGGCGTCGGCACGCTTCGGCCACAGGCCATGTCCTCGCAGGTCGTCTTGGGTCGGTGTGACGAGGTTCCACACGGCGCGGCTTGTCCCGGTTGGCATCACGCAGCACTTGAAGCATTCCGATCAGTGGACAGGATCCGCAAGCACTCACCCGTAGAAGGGTGAACACATCAAACAAAGCTCCTCATTCGTGGACAGACTGGCCGATAGCTTAGCAATGTCTTCTCCTGTTTCGTCCATACATTGGGTCTCTCAAAGTCGTGTCACCCTTGCTTTTCCGGAAAATGCCCCCTGACGATTGCCTGGGAGACCCTTGATTCTATTGCTATTTCCTAGGTATTTGGGCCGTGCCCTTAGTCCATCTCTGGGTCACACAGCTTTTCGCCGGCCAAGGCACATAGGCGTCCCGCATCTTCTTGAAGACTTCGTAGCGGCAGTTCTCCACATGCCTTCGCAAGCATGATCGGCAGAGCAGCTGCAGGCGTTTCCGTAGTCCGTAGCTTCCCAAGGATTCCACTATAAGATGAAGTGATGTCCAGTTGTTTAGAGGGGACATTATATGTATATATGTTGATTGACTTATATATATATATATATAACTATATGATACTATATTTAATTATACTGGTTCTATACATCTGGCGATCCCTATGGACCATGAATAAAACCAGAATGATTGGCTATGATCCAATATTTACCAGGAGTTCATTGAAGAGAACAGTGCCAACATGTCCAGTTGTTCTTAACCATGGCATCATGACAGCATCTGTATCAGAAATTCAAGCACCTTTGGCATGCACAGCAACCCTTGTGGCAAAGCCCCTCAAACCTGACATGTCATTAAAAAATACCCGTACCAACAGTAGACTAAGTAGACCAGCTGTCCAGGAGTGTAAATCAATCAAGTGCAACTTCTCTTCAGCTCCGAGTCATCCAACTAGCTCAGCATCCTTCCTCCATCCTCCCTCCATGCTCCATCCATGCTCCATCCATCCTGGTCTTCTCATCCACGACTTCCGGCACCGGCTGCACCCGCGCAAAGGCGCGGACACCGTTGGTGCGGCACTGCCAGAGCCGCAGCTGCGTCAAGCTGAAGCGCTTGGCCGGCACTGCCCCATCCTTGGGGCGTCTGCCAAGATCGGCTCAAAAGGATATTGCAATGGATGGGACTAAAAGGATTGAGGCTCACTAGTGACACTAGTGGTTGGGAGTCTCATAGTGTGGAGTTTGTTTTCTCTCAAGAGGAAGTAGTTGGAGGCTCCATGCAAGTGTGGGTACAAGGGATTTTTTCGTATTCAACGTGATGGAAGGAGCCACACACATCCCTCCACCGATCTTCAGGCCGTTCGTTCGTTGTGAGCCCGGCACCTTGTGCATCTCTTCAAAAAGCATCGCAGGGGTCCCAACCTGCAAAGATGAGCAGGAAACATCCGCCAGCCCTCCAGCGAAATGGTGAAATATATTCGATGTGAGCGAGATGTGCTTCGAGAATAGGCAAGGCATGGATGTGTCCTTTCCTGGAGGTGTTTCTATTCGCCAATTCTTTCACTGCTAAGTTCGGCAGCTTGAACTTATGAACTTTGAACCCTGGCTGCCAGGTGAGTAGTGGATTAGATCTCTGTCTACTTCCAAGGCAGGCATTGGAGGCCTTTGGTCGATCGCGCCTGGACCATGACCTCGTTGTAGCCCATGGTGTGGATCCTCTCACCCGCCTGAAGCACTGCCCTCGTCTGTGTGTGTGTCTTGGGGATGATACGATCTGGTCATCATGGATCCCCGCTGTAGGACTCCATATATGCCAGGAGCTTTATCTAGCGTGGTATTTTGACTCTATTGTGATTGATCGTCCTGGGTGTTACTCTGCACACTGCAGTCGCGATGAGACTGACGGAAAGATGAAAAGAATAGATTGGGTAGTTGAAAAGCCCTTGGTTGACGGTGGGCACTGCCCCTCAAACGAAGAACTGCAAAATGATCCAGCCAATCCACTCTATCTACTCCATCCCAAAGCCAGGCCCCGATCGGTCAAGGTTGCCTCAAATTGTCGCCGCGTGGGCTTCGGGTTGCAGCTCCGTTGCTCCTACGCTCTGTGCCAACAGCCGAATGCCGACTGTGGATCAATTTCTGTCAAGCCCGTTTGGGTGTCAAACACCCATAAAATAGATCAAAAGGTGAATGAGAGGGTTCTCAATCCAACCTGTGGAGACCCTGAAGAGTCTACCTTTACGTACTTGCAGGTAGAATTTCAATGCTTTTCGCTGTTCTGTTTTGTTCCATTGCTCGTGGTAGTTAGCTTGCTTTTCGCTGTCCCAGGGTCCCAAAAGCTTGCCCAATCTCCTCCACGAAGCGCTGGGCACCGGCGGAGTAGGGGTCAAAGCGCCCGCTGAAGCTCAAGGCCAAGGGTGACAGGAACTTCCTCAGCGGGGCCGTTTTGAATCCTCGTTTGCATCGGTTGAGCACAAAACTGTTACAGTAATTTCAGGGTTAAAAGCCTTCAACTGTTCCAACACTGTGAGATCTCCACCATATCCCTGCCAAACACCCATCCAGTCACCCCTTGCCACACAGCCACTGGTCGACGCGCCAGACACCACGCTTGGCCTCCTCCCCAAACTCCCCGCCAGCCGTCCGCACCCCACAGTCGTCCGGGGTAGAACACCGCGCGCCCTTGGGTCCTGGCCACTGGTCAATGCATTGAAGTGATTGGGCGGCTGGGAAGAATCATCTCCAGGGCAAAAAAGACATGAACTTGTTGCAGCCCAGTCATCTTTCAATCACCCCCTTCATTTGAAGGAAGGGTACTTAGTGATCTGTTCGTAAGGAAGGGTACTTTCAGACGCAGAAATGTCTTTGCTTTTTGAGAGCTCCTTAAAATCATTTAGCCAAACCACTCAAGCCACTCCTGCAACCAAAGACCTGTATATAGTATATTCACCTCTCCTGGCCACTCCTGCGCGCATCCAGTGAACTCCCCCAGAGTGTTGGTGCCGGCATCCGACAGAAAGCCACAGCCCACCACTGGGTAGGGCTGATAGACCTGATCAACGTGAGCACCGGAGGTCTAGGGCCCACGATGCGATGCGCGAAAACGGCGTCGTCGTGCCGAGCCACGACCAGCACCTTATGCGACTCCATGGACCTGTCCAGCAGCGGAGGCCGCGGAGGTCGTGTCGGAGGATGGATGGGAAGGTTCAACATCCCAATTAATCAATTTCCATCGCAAAGGTTCGCTGGGAACTGTGGGAAGTCACGGGATTCTCTAGCAGTGGAAGTGTTCTTCCTTCTGGGTGACGCGTTGGTCAAGATGGATCCTTCTTTTCTCAAGCATTGTCCAATGATTCACAAATGGCCAAACCACCCTCATCCGATCATCCTGATCATCCCGCCTCCCACACGCATAGCGGTTGCATCCATAGAGCGCCGTGCCCCGCAGCTCTTCCTGCACATCGTCCGCCAGGTGCCGGCTCACCAGCGAGGCGCTGGTGAACCAGTTGCCTGGCTGCGGTGCACCGTCCCATCACGGGCCACGGAGGCCGATGTCGGTGCTTGTTTCGGTGAGGAGAGGAGCTCACGTCGTCGGTCGCATGGAGGTTGTTTACACAAATAAGAAGGCCATAATCTTGTTCATCTATTTTGTAAGCGACCTTGCAAAATGTTTTAGACCCTCTTGCATAAACCACCCAGAGTGATCTCTCGAGCTTTATGTGTACAAAGAAGCTACCTACACTGCAAAGCTGGCGTTGGAAGTCCAAAATTATATCACTCTTTGACCAACCTCGGGGGCACGGAAAGTTCGTTGGGCTTTTCAAATGACTAAAGAAGAGCCATCAAAAAGGCCTTGACATCTTTGCCCTTCAAAGTGACAACACTTGAATTGAAGTTGGAGTTACTCAAATCATGAAGAGGTATGAATAGGTAACATGACCAAACTTTTGTGTCACCGAAGGGTTCAGCTGCCTTCTTTGTTGACCCAGGTGCCACCCCAGAATTCTTCATCCTCTTCGGAGAAATCGGGCAAGTCCCGGTTCCGGCCACCTCCCACCAGCGCCTGCGATGCCCTTTCCTGAGGCGTCGTCCTTGCCTCTCGGCCACTCCTGACATCTCAGCAGATGGGCATCGAAATCAAGGAACTGGAAGAGAAAAGAAACGCTGGCTAATCTGGGCTAGATTCTACTCTGAGCCACAAGTCAGACCATTCAAGGAGCCAAAAGTCCATATATATATTCAACATCTCTAAACGATCCAAATTGATACAGCGTCCCGAATTTAAATCTCCATCACCTTCCAAGAAGCGATTTTCTCCACCCCACCTCCCCCCACGCGGATCTAGCGCCTCCAGCTGCCAATTCAGTGGCAGATAGCCTTCCTGGTGCGGTTGTTGGCCATGTCGAAGGCCCAAGAGTTGGGAGACCTTCTTGTCCTCGGTGAAAATGGCCACATGTGGAACGACTGGGCGTTGGATTGAAAACTATTTCATATCATGTAGTATCACAGAATTCCAAAAATGTCTTCCACTCTGAGTGGCATCACCTGCATTAGCTTGAGACATAAACCCCCTAACATTTCGGAACATTACCTTGAAGCGGATGGACAACATGATGTGCCACCTTCCACTCCTTTGCATTGCTATAAAGCTATCATAAAGACCTCTTCCATCTCCAAGACTCAAAGCCGGTCTTCACGGTGCCTCCAGGGGAGGTGGCCAAAAGCTTCACCAATAAGCCATCGTTGAACCTCAAAGGCTGCCAACGACCGCACCATCCAGTTAAGTGATTCATTTCAAAGCAGGAAAAAAGGAAATGACTCCTCCAACCTGCCTTTCACAACCACTGAGTGGGGAGGATGGCCTGCACACATGCCTGCTGGAGCATGCTTGGTGATCACCCCGTCAAGAGCCCCCGCCTCCCAACATGCTTCCACTCCCAAACTGCTTCAGCCAAGCGGCTGCTCATTGAGCTCGCTCGCCAGGGCGCTGCTCTTGTCTCGAGGCCGATGAGCGGCCGCCCAGGAACTATCGAAGCTCGCTGCCCACATGGCACCATGTCCAGCTGTGGAACTGTGGATAGGGCTTCACCTGGAAAACCCTCACTCTACTCTACTGGTGGGTAAAAATGCGGAGGAAGAAAGTCAGCATGGTTTGAAGAAACCAATCAACTTAGACTGAAGAGTTGAATCAGTAGGCCACTGCAATGGCCAGAATGTATTTTGAACATGTCTGGTGTGGGTGTGTTTCAAAGACCAGCTGTCGCAATCTCAGAGTTGGGATTGTTTCCCTGGTTTGAAGACTTCCCACAACTGTCACAAGTCGGACATTTCCTGTGCTTTGGGATCTTCAGGGAGCTGGCAGTCTTGGAAACAAATCTGAGATGCACCAACGGATGATGAGTTCTCAGGCGTGGCCTTTATATTGAGCGCTGAATCTAAAGATGAACTTCAATGCACTAGATATTGATCTTTGGGCAAATCCATCCGGTGGCACTGGGCAGGCTGCATCGTCCGTCAGACTTCCAAACACTCTCACTCAGGTGGACAAGACTATAGGCTTGGAATGAACTTGTTGGGATATCTCAGGATTCGTCTCTTAAAGTTCCAAGCCAACCTTTCTCCCTGCCAAGAGTTCCAGCGAGCTCATGAAAACGTGTCTTTCGACGAGCGGCGAGCGAAAGCCAAAAGCCATGATTCACCGCCGCTCTCCCAAACACCTTTCATGACTTTCGTGAAGGTTTTGTCCATGACATGGTGCTTCCAGGTGTCACCTGCTGAATCACCTACCAGATGTGCCTTCAGCAAATCCCCAAGAGGTGAAGAGGTCTATCATGCAACTCATCCCTGAAGTACAGTAGTTCAAATTAACCGACCAACCACGGTCAAATTCAGGCAGATGCACAATGCACAGAAGATGTTCTTTTTGGTCCAATTGATGGCCAAAATTCGCGCCGCTGATGCATACCATCTCGCTCAGCGTTTGACCTGCATCATCCACTTGGAGTCCTGATTGTACGCTCGATAAAGGCTGGTGCCTGGGGTGTGAATCTGTGAATGCAGGTAAGACCTGCCCTCCGGATTTTCATGGATGTCCTGTCTGATCAGCACCCTAAGTATTCTCATAAAAGTTTGTAGAAATAAACAAGCCCAACATGCCATGTCTCGGGTGATGTGTGAACTCCACACTCTTTTCTTGCGCCTGCGGCTACCCAACATCAGCCAACTGAGATCTGCCAACTGGCTGTGTGGACTGGTCACTTGTGGACCTTAAGAAGGCGCCACTAAACCGGTCTTGATGGTCAACGCTGTGTCCGCCAGGACCGAGAAAGCGGGCAGCAAGGATTGCCCTTTGAAGGAGGCGCTGTGCGAACACTTGAAGGTTCCTGCGATGCGATCAATGATGTGAGCACCATGGGTTTACAGTTTTTGCACCATTTTACATCCACTCCAATTGACCAACATAAACAAGACTTGGTGAGATCAAAGTGCTCGTGTGGGACGCTGAAGTCCATGTTGAAGCGACCAGCAACGCCGCCAACTAAAACCGCTCGTGTGGACATAAGTACGAGGTAATGGCATGTGTGTTTCGAAGATCCCATGCATCCTCATCCTGGTCCAAGACTAGAGTCCTAGAGTATCCACTTTGCATGGCACACACCCGAACAATTCGGCGATATGATATAACTCAACGAGTGCAGCGGCACTCGACCCTGCCACCCGCCCAGTGTCCGTTGTGGAAGAACATCAAGCTGCCTCGATCCTTGGATCGCTTGAAAGGTCTTGGGGTGAAAGAAGCGGGAGCCTCATCCACAAGTTACAATAGCTCTAGACTTAGACCAACAGGAAAGAAATGAAATCAGCCCTAGAAATTGAGTTTCAACTTATCTGGCATCTCTCTGGCACAGCCAAGGGCTCCGCATCCACGAAAACTCCGATGCGAGTGCCCTGGAAGATGGGAAAGGACTCGGTCAACGCAGAGCCACTCTGGCCATTGGACCTGGAAGGAGGACGGCCCTCGTCATGTGATCAAGAGGCTTGGCAATCAGCAGATCAGCTTTGTAGCTTCGTGGTTAAAACAAGCACTCCGGATGATGCAAACAAGATGAATGGTTAAAGCACTTGGAGAACTACACTTCCTGGTGCCTTTTTTAACACAGAAATCGTGTCGGTGACGCCGTCCCTGAAGTGAGTCATGCATGAAATTCGGCGAGCACCAACTAGTCTTGCGGTCGTTAGGGTGGGCATGCAAGCTGCTGCAACAAGGCGTCTTGCTGCTTGGAAGGTCAATCCGGAGTAGAACAGCTTCTAGTTGGTGAATCGTCCTTTGAAAAGGGCCGCAAGTATTGATTCGTGTGTGCAACGCAAAGGCTTCTAACTTGTGCTGGACTCGTTTAGACTCGTTGTTCAAATGGAGCAGTCTGTCTCACTGCTTCGCCTCATTGTGACCACCTGATTGATGAAGCCCAGCCCAGCACCTTGCGGCCAAAGGCTTTCACAAGGATGGAGAGACTGTGAATGGAGGAGAAACGAGAAACAACCAGAGCGGAAGCGAAACATGTCAATTAGCTTGCCAAGAGATTCAGGCCCGTTCAACTCGAAAAATGTGAAGCAACCTCTCCTCAATTCTTGGTCAGAACCCAGGAAAAAAAGCAACTAGCAATCAATCAGAAAGGACATGGGGAGGAGTTTCATCCCATGTCACATGTCCCTTCAATATCTCACATCCATCGATCATCATAAATCCTCAGTGCCAGGATCAACCCCAGCTAGCAAATCTAGCAAGCCCTTACCCAAGCAAAGCTCTCCTAGTTCTCCACTCTCACAATCCTCCCCCGGATCACGTGCGAACAATCCTCCTGGACTCCACGGTGCCTTGGTTCCCCGAGTCCAGGATGGCGTGGGGCGTGGCAAAGGCCGACGTCGTCACACCCACCACGAAGTCGGCACCTCAGCACGTCCCTCCGATCTTTGAGTGCCGAGGCGGAAAGAAAACAAAGAGAGGTGTAGTTGACCTGAGATGTAGTATCTTGGATTTCAGGTTCGAAAGTGACTATCTATTCTCCAGCAGTAAGGTCATCTAAATGTTAAATTCTCTGGCTGTGACACCCATGGCTGCACAAAGACTACCCCATTATATTAGTTGAAGTTACATGCCACCCCAATCCCAAACCTACCCCCCCCCACGCTGATCTCACCAAGCAACTGATCTGGCCCAGTGTGGTGACCTCGACCTCCCAGTAGCTCTGCCCGCTGCTCGGCAGCAGCGAGGAGCCGAAGACGGTGTTCCACTGCTGGCGGACTCCGGTCGTGTACATCGTCTCCTGCTCGGACAAATACGCGAAGGCATTCCTGGCCTTAGCGGAGCATTCTCGGCACCGACAAGGGGAGCTTCCCGCACAATCCCGCATACACCGTCGGTCAAGGAAAGAACTCATCTCGCATCGACCCAAAAGAACGACGAAAAGCGACCGCCAGGTCCTCCCGTTCCGCTTTGTGGCCAGGTTGCCGAGGCGTTGTTGGGATGCGTGGCACTCAACTTGAAGTCGAAGCCCATCACCGAGGTCACAGTCATCCCAGCCTTGGGCCACCGGGTTCAAGCAGGTTCAACAGAAATAGACCACAGAAACGACGCCAAATGGCCAGATGAGAGGGAGGTCTATGTGTATTTGTAACTGTTGTAAAGTCAGTCAGAAGTTGTGACGATGATGAGTGACCAGTAAGTGACTACCAATATATAATATATACATATAATATATCAATGTGTATAATAAGTGCTGACCCTTCTAGCCCAGCCACCTGCCATGCTCTAGCTAGCACCACCACCCAGTGGCCCTAATGATGCATGTGCCACTTAGCCGCATATTCAGCATAGGCTTCCACCAAGACCTTCAAGGATGGCTCTAAGGTGTCCAAGTAGCTCCTAGGCGTCGTGCATCCGTTCAAAACGGCTGAAGGATTCTTCCCCCATTACCCGCCCACGACAAGCATGGACGCTGAGTTCGGAAGACTGCAAGACGACTGTGCTTCTACTGCAGTTTTGCCTGTCCCGCTCATCTCGGCCAGTCCTCTTGCGCCCCCGAGCTATCTCCAGAAGCACGTCGAATGCCTCCATCCAGAGAAACATGTGTTCCAACCAGCTTCCCAGTCTAGGTTAATATTAAAGCGGATACCATGCACTCTTGAATCAAGCTCTGACTACATGAAACATTGATCGATCCAAATACCATCAACCTAATTTCGGCTCTTTGCTGCTGTTGACTTGGAGAAGATGAGTTGGGTGGAAATTCACCTGGCCTTGGGACTCGCATCCACAAAGATCGGCTTCTCCTCTTCCTTCTCCCGCGTAAAGCGCAGCATCGCCGCCACGAGGGGGATCCGCTCCGCGGTCATTCGGTGCACCTGGGTACCGTGCTGCCGGCGGTGAGTTGGAAACACAAGGGCTTTGGGCCTCGGGGAAACTGTGTAAGAAAGGAAGGAGGCTCTAATGATCGCTGCTTGTGGAGAATGGTGGGGCCAGCCAGAGTGTTTGGCACAGTCTCCTGTGTTTGAGACGACACTGCGAGACCTTGATTTGTATCTGAGTCAACTAACTCTCACCAATTTCTACCGCAATGATCCCCACCACACGGAAACGGGGCACCTCATAGAGTTGGCCACTCACATTGAGCTTCACCGTCTCCTCCTGGGCTGGAGAATGTGTATTGCAGGTTATGATTTGATTAATGCTTATGACAGATCAAGGTAGATGACGTCTGGTACTTAGCTGGAGATTCGTGACATGTCAAACTGGCCTATTTGGCTCATGCCGCCAAATCCGGTCCGTAGGTTTTATTGAAATCTGAGCTCGCTCAACCCTTCTACTGCCAAAACAATCAAAACCAACCACCCACACAGCCCGTGACCCGCACCGAACCTGCTGCCAAAGCCTCCGCCTTTTGCCGCTCCCGTGCCACGACGAAATCCTCCACCGAGGCCGCCCGCTCGCTGGAGCGCCCCAGGCCCAACGTCAGCTGCGGAGCACCGCCCGCCGCGACGAAAAAGCGGCGCACGTCCTGACATCTGGGGCAAGACACCCCGGAGGCCAACGGGGGTGGATTGTGGTGGAGTAGAGAGGAATCTGAGGGATTGCCTCTCGGACGGATTGGACACCTTTGTCTGATACTGTATGAAGAACATGTACATTGAAAAAAAAAAGGAAGCATCGAAAAATCGAGCAGGCTCCCCAAAACAACCAAACGGACACCGCCTCGTCTGAGAGCAGCTCCACAAGGGTGGTGCTGCCTTCACTTTGGCCCAAGAGGTGGAACTTGGACATCAGCGAGGCAACCTGGAAATGCCACGCCGACACTGCCCACCAGCAGTGATAGGGTGATGGTGCAGGCATGGGTCCAAAGGGGTCGGGACCTCTTAAATCTAGATGGTCATCCCATGTCATCCCTATCCTGGGCGCTTTGCCAGACTGCTAGACTCTGTTATTCTCAGAATAGGGCGGGCGACCTGGCTTTACTAAACTGCTAGACTCTGCTAGACTCAGGAGTACGGACACAGGATGTGCGCGAGCTTTGTCTTTTGTAGAGCAACGTTCATCAGGGAGAATGATACAATTGGTTGCATTATGTTGCATTCGGAATCAGGAACCCTCTGACATGTTGTAGTGTTTGATGTTGGGTGGAAGGCTTGGAACTCCGACCCGCCTCCGCCAAAGAGATGGCGCCTGCCTGGTGCAGACTTTGGGCACGACGTAGTGGTGGTGTTGGTGTGGAATCTGACCAGTCGGTTGTGTGAGTTGTGGGCCTGCGTAGATTCTCTTTTCGAAGGGATGAACCATTGGCAACACGGAAATGCCTCCGAATGCCTGTTCTTCCCTTTTCCAAACCAAGTTCCATGAAATGCCACAAGACCGAGTTCTGTGAAATCAGCAAATCGCTTCGAGAAACGCCACCACAGCACGGCTCGACTCAGTGACTCCACGTCCCACGAACTCGGAGCTCGGCGCTCAAAGCGCCTTCAGGGCATCCTTCACCTGGTCGCAGTGCAACGCTCCCATCAGAACCACCTCGCGGATCGACTTCGGAAATCCCACCTCGGCATTTCGCGCAGTGTGGCTCTTCTTCGGCCAGGTGTTGGTGGTCTCAACAGAGGCGCCCAGGATGACCCCAAACGTTTAAGGACAAACGGGGGAAGCGTTCCAATGGTGCTGGTCCGAGTGAACAGCCCCGTTTACAAAGGAGTTCAAGCGCATCTACCCTCCGAGATGGTCTCCATGCCGTCAAACACTCACGGACTTTGGCCGGGCCACAGAGTTATGCGAGTTTCCGGGCAATTGCAGTGTCCATCCTTCTTCCACGGCAGCGGCCATGGCACAGCACGGGCACGCTCAAAGCCAGGTCAGGGGATGGTTGCAGCAGAAGTGAAGGTAACTAGCCATGGATTGTTTGTAGCTGCTGATGTGGTGATTCTAGAAGATCAAACTAAAGATCCTGTTCGATTGCCTGACTGAAACACATTATGGCAGCCAGTCATTGTTCAGTCACACAGGCAATTCACTATGGCTCAATTCTCTGGTGTGCACTGAGCATGAAGCTGGCTGCATGGATGAAACTCAAGGAACAAACTTGGCAGGGAAACAGCAAGACCTACTGCTGAACTACTGTACCCAGCACAATAACTGGCAACCTGAGTCTTTGAACGCTGCTTCACCCCTCTTCCGGTGAGGTCCTTCTGCAAGGTGCATCGTGGAGGCCTTGCCTTGGTGGAGCGAGGAAAAACAGGTTTGACCCAAGGGTCGTTTCTATCGCGCACCACAAGTAGTTGAGATCTCATGGTTTTCAAGGAATTTGTCCTCTATCCTCCTATCCCATCCCAACCCCTGAAAATTCAGGTGGACTTCCAGCTACTTCTGTGAATCCCATCCGCCAAGTTCTCCTCATCCCCATGGGCTGGGGTAGCATTCCTTCATGTTCGGACCCCAACCGCACCACCACCCAGCAGCTCCATTGTCCACCACACACCCATGTCTGCTGCAGCCGTCCCGGGCCGCCCTTTTCGTCCCTCACTCGCTGGCGCTGGAGCGTTCCGCCAGCGCGCGGAGCGTCCGCCGCGTCGCCGCGTCGGCCTCGGCGTCGCTCGCCTCCTGGGCCTCGCGGGAAGGGTCCGGGAAGGATGGACCGGACGAACCAAACAGCACCGGACGAGTGGGCTGGTGGTGGGGGAGGTCAATGGTCTATAGACATCTACAAACACAATGGACTCTGTAGTCATGAGTTGTCTTTGGGTGTGTGTTTGGGTGGGTGGTGGGGGTGCAAATATTAGCTTCGTGTGGCCGAGCGAGTCGGCCCAGTGACCCAGGTCACAGGGGCAGCTCTGAGTCACAAGGTTGGAGGTCTGTCAAAGCAAGGCCTTGCCATGGTCGACTGGGGCAGAGGAAACGTCGAAAAGGTAAATATTGGGCTTGAAGAAAAGAAAAGAAAAGAGTTCACTTGTCTATCGAATTTGGATTTCTCTCAGGGTCAGATCTGAGATTCGTGGCCTTCTCTTGCCAAAGCTCCATGTACTCCGTCAATCGCGGGGCGAGCTTCACCAACTCATCCAGCTCCTGAAAATGGGAAACGTCTTTTGTCGCATCTCTATGGGGCCACCAGTCCTGCCTCATTGTATCAAGGCTACTAAGGCTTTGAACAAGACTTCGTTCTAAGATTGGACTACTGCAATTGCCTGCTTAGCATCTGGTCCTCCCATCACCAGTCCTCTTCATTCAAATAGAAGAGTCGATGTCCGTCAGGCGTCATAAAGACCAGCTGCGCCTGCCAGGTGGAATCCCTAATCCCTAGCCATGCAGGAGTCATGAGAGACTGCACTTAATGCCACAAGACACCCCCCATATCTCACTGGCACCGCCAAAACCTCGTTCCAGCAGTAGGATCCTGACTCACTCCTTTCTTCCACTGGGGTAGAAAACCAGTGAGCCGACAGTGAGGAACATCGGAACGAATGCAAGCGATTGAGAAACAAATTCACTTTCCAACATAGTAAAAGGATTTAAAAGGTGAGAATTAGAATTTGCAATTCACATACAATGTCCTGCGCGTTTGAAGACTTCTTTTGATCATCAACACTGAGATGCATTTTTCCAAGAACCTCTTGCCCCAGCACCTGGTCACTCTCCGCTGTCCAAAGTCTCGAAAGTCACCAAAACACAATGGGGCCAACGGACCTGCCTCCAAATATCCATCCACGTCACGCTTGGAGGCCACCACCTGGACCTGCCCGAACTCCCTGGAATACGGAAGCGTCAGAACATAAACATCCTTTAAAGAAAAAGCTTTAGGTACGGTACAGTACCTGTCCTGGAAGCATACACCTGCAAAATCAGGCCTAGCGCATGCTACTTCGGAGCAAACCCTTTGGCAGGAAGTTCACACTCCTCAGCTCAACAGCTTTTACCCAACCGTTAGCCAGTCGACCCCAACCCATCAGACGGGCGCCTGCTTTCGGCCACCTGGAAGCTCGATTGACTCCTCCTGAAAAGAGAGTGGCGGTGAAGATGGCCATTCAGCCGAGGGTGCTGGAAGAGTTGCTTGGCTGGTTGGTTGGTTATTCTCTTCCACGTTACCACATGCATGTACCCCTAAACTAAACAACCTTCTTTATCTCGTGTGTACTTGTGCTGGAAGCTACCGAATCCCACCGAACATTGCCCTCGCTTCCACGCAGCCGCTCGCCTTGGGAGGCCAATAGCGCCGCTCGCGCGGCCGGTCGCGCGCATTCTGGAAGCCGCGCTCGGCGAAAGGCCGGTCCTAAGTGAATGACAGATGAAGCCAAGCATCGAAACATCCTTCACTGAATGGAATATGATGGATCGGTTACGATCGGTTTCTTGCTGCTTGCTTGGTGCCAACTTCTTGCAGACGACCTTTGCTTCAACCATCTGGTCACTTCACGTCGACACCCAGAATTCCCAAGCCAATTGATTGATGCCAGGGTTCTCGGACATCAGCTTCCTGCAAGAGTGTGTGGTGTTCAAATGGCTGCACCTACCGCACCACAAACATCGTTTTGAGGTTATCACCCTTAACAAACCTACAAAGCCAACGAGACTAACCCAAGAGGTACATAGTTCCTGCTGGCTTATGGCTTCGGGCACAGGTCCTTCAGGCGCTTCTTCTCTTCAGCCTGGCGAGCAACACACAGCATGGCCAAGGCTTGTTAGCGGTGCGATCGGTTTGGGGCAGTGCAGTTGGATCTTTCCAACACAAGAATCGTCGAGAGTCCTGTGAGCCACTGAACATCACCAAACCTCCAACCTGACATATGGCGGTTGGACCAAAGCCCATGCCGCGCCTTGCTGCTGGAGATGAAGCGAACGCCGCTTCCGCGCACCCCGGCGGTGCAGAGGCGCACACGAAGGGCAGCGGGCACAGCGGACCGCGGCATGTGGAGCGGCACCCGGAGGGCCATGGCGGCTGAGAGCTGGAAGCTGGGAGGTGGTTCGAGGACATATGAGACATATGAGCTTACAAGTTAATCAACTTGTGCAGAGACCTTTCAGAGTGTTGGTGATCTCCATAGAAAGAATCGTGGGCAATCACGATCGCATGCTTAAGTGACCAGCTTCATACGGAAGTCACTGGGGGTATCTCAATTCACAGAGTGGTATAGAAAAATAGCCTTGCATTGTCAGGTTGCTTCGTGCAGGATCCGCATATTCCTGAAGAAAGAGTAGTTGTTCACTTCATAGTCACACCTTCAAAAATCCAATAAGATCAGAAACTGCATCATCGTCTTTTTT